TAAATGAAACAATTATAAGTGACGTCAAGTAGTTAGGAAAATAAATATACTCAACTCAATTAATTGCTTACAACTCAAAACTTGTCACTTTAGAAAATTTTTGGAGTCTGCCGTTACTTTTATACCAATGAATTCAGATTGGAACAGTTAGGGTGAAATCCGATTCAATCCTGGTTGTAAATAGTTAAAAAAATGCAGTTTATTGATTTCTCTTACTACATGTCTCCACTATTCTGCCAAGCTCGGGAACACTTCTGAATAATATTCATATAAAATGCTGTCCTCAAATTTACTGCGATAAAATATTAATGTTTCAGAAAAATTACGAATATTTTCTATTTGATCTTCACAAATAGAGGATTAAATTATGAGTAAAATTCTGCAAAATAATCAGAGAAAATATCATACGAGTCCTTTTGAACAATTTGTATTTCATTAGTAGAACTACGGCAAAATCTAAATGAATGTTCAAACCGTGTTTTTTTTCTTCACTCTGCACGATTGTCAAGCTCAATACTTATAAAACTTGTTTCTCATGTCGGTAACTTCAACTGTGTTTCCATGATAATCTAAAATGTTTTGCCAACAAAAATATGTGCACTTTTTTATTTTTTAGTAAGCTTGTAAAAGATGCATTTATGAGGTATGATAACCAAACTTTTGCGACTTTGAATCTCAGGTCATTAAAAAAATAAAAAATAAAAGAGAGAAAGGGAGAGAGAGAGAGAAAAGAAAAGAAAAAAAAGAATAAATCACCACTACATCCTAAGAGGAGTGTAAAGAATAATAATTTGTAAAAAAAGAAATCACTAGTAGACAGTATACCAATTGTTAAACTGCACAATCCCGCATCTTGATTGTGAGGCTCCAAAATTTAAGTTTCTTCTGAATTTCTTCGAAAGGAAACAGTCAAACTTTATCAACTGAAACTATCATGGAATATTCTTTGACAGGGAAGTTACATTGCAGAAATTTTCACAGTTTTATCAATTGAGAGTAGAGATAAAAAAAAAAGAAAAAAGTTTGACCGAAAGTCTACAACATTCCACACCAAAATTAGAGGATTCTGAGGTCATTAAGGTGAAGTTACATCCCCTTTTAACCAGTGGAATATCCTTATAAAGAATTGACTAAATACAGAAAAAGAAAAAAGCAAAAGTAGTCGGTCCCCTAAAGTTATTTCTGTTGCTGTTCAAAAGAGAACATAGCTCTTTCCTCATGACCGGGTGATTCAGAATAGTTATTTTGCTGATAAATTCAGACATTATCATCCACCTAGAATCCAAAAAGTAGAGTACCATGATAGATAGAGTATGGACATCTCGCCCCTCCAGTTTCCATAGAGGTCCTTAGGACCCAAAAATGGCAGCGCTTTGTTTTGATTGTTGAGGATGGGAGGGAGGTCATTATCGACTTTTGACATTTATCACCCACCATATTTGCTGCCAACTTTACTACAAATATCCAAGATGACTTTTCTGGAGAAAAGCACACGATTAGCCGTAAAAGTATGTAAATACATTGTAATAAAACATTTGAGTAAGTTCTTGTTACGATTTGCAAATTAAACTACATTTTAAGTCATTTTGTATTACATTTACTTGGAGCATTCGCCGTTTTTGGGTCCTAAAAGCTCCAAGAAGCTCAAAGAGGAGCCAATCGAAACTCATAGCCACAGGGAAATCAAGGTGCTTGACCAAACATACTCCTCCCACCTAAACAATTTTAAGCAATACTAGTAGCTTTTTGACTCAAACTTTTTTACTCTTCAACTCCTTGGCTTCATTTTTTTTTTCAAAGTTGTATCTGACAATCTACGATGCTTATTTTAACCACTTTTTTTCAGCAGGTATAGTTTCTGGATGAACCTGCCAGCATCAAATTTTGTGATGACCTGGGATTTTGTTATGATTGCAAAGCAGACCATTGAAGCTGCAGAGAGTTTGTTAAAGGATGAGCCTTGTGTCAGTCTAGGAGGATGGACTGACGCCATTTTTCATTTTTAAACTGCACTCAAACACAGGCTCCAGCCTTGAATATTTAATTACATCACCCTGTAGGCAAGACACCGCCCAAAAACAAAAATTAAGTCCAATACAGTTTACTCTGCATTATTTTGAGGAAGTATTAGTAAAACGTAAAGTCCAAAGCTATTAAAAACCACACGTCCATGAGGCATGAGCAAAGTCCTTTCTTTCCTGAAGCAGTTTCATATTGAAACAAAAATAATGGTGCTACATTTCTAAGAAAAGAAAAAAATGTCTACGATCTAAAAAGAAGCTAACTAAGGAGACACAGGAGTTAGTTCAAATTTTTTAAATGCTCAGACAAAGAACAAGATGGCAGAAGGAGTTAGTGGTTGCCAGCACTGTTTCATACAAATTCACTGAGATATTCTAGAGCTGATTTTAGATCAAATGGCAAACAATTATGGAATTCAAACATTCAGAAGCCAGAGATATTTGCCTGTAAGACTGCAATATTTTCTGTATGGTAGAAGCACGAAAAATATTCCATATGGACTAAGGCTTGCCTTTTTGCATAATGTTTAGCCGGCGAATTATAATTCTCTCATGTATTTAATGAGAGACTTGACAAACAGTTTTAATTGCTCTCATTTGTTGAATTTCAGTCGTGTTTTATCATTTCATCATTTCACATCATGTTCCATTACAACAGAAAGGGAGGGCTTGTAATTCATTCATCATACGATTGAAAGTCGAAAATAAGGTGAGCTTACCATAGACATAAACATCTCTGGTTCCAAATGGTACAAAATACACAAGTTTCAAACTCTGTGCCACACATCCGTTTGTGAATAACTTATTGAATTTTCATTAAAATGTGCCAAGAGCCACTGAATTTATCCTCTGCTGCCTTTTCTTTACATTAAGTAGAAAAATCCTTCACATAATTTGAACTTTCCGAGATGACATGACTGAACTTTACTTGGAATATTAACTACAAGGTAGATTTGATGCAAGGGCAAAAGGATCAAGTTTAGAGGAAAAGAATGAAGTATTTTGGAAAACAAGGCGTTTGTCTCTCGGTCATTTAGGCTTTAAACTGATAAACATGATAACAGCTCATTTTTACTGGCTTCGTAAACTTTAATAACTATGAAGCTCTTGTCATCTCATGGTCCTTTCATTATTACTACTTTTTAATGGCACTGTTTTGATAGCTTACCAAAGACCTATAAAGCACCCTCACAACTATTAAACATACCCCTTATTTGCCAAAAAACTTGGTCCCTTCCGATAACCTTAATCCAATTCTTCCCCGAAAAAAAAAGCCCATATTTGAATAATTTTGGAGACTCATAATGTTCATTGTAGCAGGAAAAAACCTCTGGAAATATGTTACTTTAGAGTTATACTCTGTAATACAATTTAAAGTAATATAATCACAGGAAAAGTAGGTACAATTCAAGTAAACATTAATGACGAATGATGGTCCATTTTCGAGTAGTTCTAAATATATGACATAACCTCCCCAAAGACAATAATCATAAGGTACTTTCCATTTAGAATTGTTTTTCTTATATGCTTTATTTTAAACTAACACTAAAAAACGAAAAAAGTTGACTGTTAATAAACCTACTATTCTAGATGTACTGAAAAATTGATCAGCTTACTTGATACACATACTTGATGGGCATGGATTATTGCTGAACCAACAACATCTCTAACAGAGTTAAACAAAGGACTGATCAGGAATCACTTGGTCTAACCATTAAATCATAAAACGGCAATTCTGGCAACCTCACCAGCAGTGAAGATAAGTTTTCGCAGTTTGCTGTGCCATTATTGAAGCAACCTTACCAAGATGAACTGAAAATGATTACAGTCCGCCAATCATAGAACACTGACATTCATAGTGAATGCGATCGGTGAATGCGATCAGTCATTACCAAGCAGAAGGAATCTGTAGACTCTCTTTCGAAAAACTGTGTTCTTACACGAGTCATAGAATGGGCTTAACATTGTTTAAAACTCAACTTGTTGATGGAGCTCTCCCACTTAAGGCTATCAATAAGAGGTAAAATGAAGCAAAAAAAAAAATAATAAAATGGAAAGAATTTAAGCTAACATGCAGAGAGCTGTTACAAGAAAAAATGCTGCTGATCGCTGAACTGAACTAAATATATATATTTCTAAACATTAATTTCAAGAGCTAACTTTTCAGAATTGAGAAAGATAGAAAGTCTTTTGAGGACACTCTCTCTCTATTTTTTATGCAAAATTTGGGTATAATGTTCAGTTCAATAGCTTATGATTTTAATAGATTAATATATATTTTAACAATAGATTTAATAGAGATTCTAATAGATTATTACTTTCATTGAATGCAGAGAAATTCATTTTTTAAACGTAAAATTTGGGTATAATGGGTAGAACTTGCATCAAGCACATTGGTAGTTGTCTTTTTTGCACTGCCTGTCCATCAATTTGCCTTTTCTGTGCTTAGTGCTGATACTGATTGTAAGCAGTACTACTATACAAAGCAGTCTCGTGTTACTATACAAAACAACAGAGTTGTACTCAGAGGATGCAGATTGGTTATCTGCTCAAACAATTACACGTTCAATGCTAAGACAGTCATAATGCCTATTTTATTACTATTCTAGTTGGGCAAAACCATTCAGAGTGACTGGCGTTTTTAGCAGCATGTTTTTATCACACTGTTGTGCAATAGAGGTGCTGTCTGATGGTCCTCCACAAAATTAATGGTAGAGTAATAAGTACTTAACAAATAGAAAGCACTGAAGTTACAGCACACTTGGCCGAAACTATGGTTGGGACGGTTCAAATTATGCTGTTCCTGCGTGTTCCTGATACAGTAGGAACAATGGTGCTAAGGCACATCAGCAGGGAACGTATAAAGAGTCAGAAATTACCAACACACCAGATCCATGTTCTACACAGTTCAAAAAGCAGCATTATTTCTTAAGGCTCATGAGAACAGCCATGAAAAAGAAACTGACTTGGGCTACTTACAGAGAGCTTCTAGGTAGTTGCTTGGGAAGAGTCCAACTTTCCCGTTCAATTCGCCTTTCCACCAGGCTTGCTCGTCTTTACTGATAATTGTGATCACATCGTCTTTCTTAAAGCTTACTTCATCATCGTTTAATGCACTGTAGTCGAAGAGGGCAATGAACTTATCACCTACCGCTGCACAAACAAAAATTAAGAGGTAATGGAAAATTTCTTCTTGAATTTTGATGAAGATTCTGGTCAAGGATTTAATGCACTCCCTTCCACAGAAGACTAATCATCAAAATTGCAGTTTTTGTACTAGGTATGATAATTTTTTATGGTTAAAAATTCACTGTAGAGGAAATTAAATTTAAGAAGGAAGTCTGAGGAATTATGAGCATCTCTTTTAGTCATACTGAATAGACTGAACTCCGTGAAACTATCTTAAAATCATGATAGCTTTTTCCTCAGATTCGTGGTTTTTTTGCTCAAACTTTGAAAAAAGACTCAATTATTAGAATTCTGGGGTGTTAAAAGAGTCAAATTATGCAGAATTAGCTCCTGTGTGAAGTTATGGAGTAATCTCATTTATTAAGTACCCTTTTTCCAGACTCCATCACATTTTAGGTCAAAAAACATTATCCAAAAGTATTAGGACATTTTGAATAAAAGAAGCATTGTGAGAAAGCTTAAACTTTGGAGAAAAGTTTTTGCATTAAAAAAATTAATAAATAAAATTAAAAAAGAGATGAGTAAATTAAAGAGATACCTTTGACTTCAGGGGTGCGTTCCTCAGATTTTGAGACGGAGCCTTTTCTCCCTCCTTCACCTAATATTTTGACATACGAGGCAGGGAACCATCCAATCTGGCGCTTTTTGCCTTTGGCCTAAAAAATAAAAAATGTATGAATTGAAAAAGAAGCTATGATGACAGCTTTTCATTTTGCTTGCCTTATTTTGTGCATATGAAGGTCCAAAGTGTTCTTTTTCACCCTTCACCTGATTACTATTTCATATCCCTCCTCTAGAGAACTGCCAAGCAGCCTGAAATATTTTCAGAACTGTGATTCTACACATCCAAAGGTGGGAGAGTAATACCGCTTTTTGATGCAAAAAAATAAAAAAAAAACCGCACATGAGAATTTTAAGCTAAACTTAGGAGGTACTGGATTATATACACAGGTTAGTCAGCCTTTGATGACAATCAAATTATTTATTTTGATAAAACTAATTAAACACTGCGATAGAAATTGAAAGATAAAGAGAAGCGATAAAAAAAATCCGTTATTCAAAATTGAAAGTAAAATTTAATATGTATTAATTAATAGTGAAATAAAGTGGAGTATGAACAAATTATTTTTGATTTACAACTTTAAAGTGTTTCTTTCATTGGACATAAAAAATAGACTTCCAGAATGAAAGAGGAAACATTTACATTTTAAGACTCAAAAGTTGTTGAAATGTTCGTCAAAAATTAAATGCTTTTCTGTGAAATGAAATAAATTACACAGAATTTTGGTTGAGTGTACATAAAAAGAGAAGGCTCAAGATACTGACCTGTCTTTCTCCTTCCCACCAACCGGTAGTAGTCTTTTTTCGGATCATGATAAATTCACCTCGCTGGAGGCTCAGCTGTTCGGCACTGGTCGCTTGATAAGGCGCTATGACAGTTGCTATTTCCGGTTTTTTACCAGCTTTTGTTTTCTGCAAAAAATTTTCATTATTAGTCATTTGCTGAAGACTCTAGTTTTCAAACGGAGAAATACCCAAATCAAGATATTACCTTTCATTTGGAAAATCAATTTCCAGGTTAAGAGTGAAAATTAGCTAGTACTCTTGAAATATGAATGATAACGAAAACAAAGAGGCAATACTGCATCATAAATTTAAAGAAAAGTAAAAAATAATTCAATTTCAAAAAAATAAAAATAATCAGTTTTTTCCGGTTTGGTTTAACACTTCAAAGTGTGTTCAAGGTTTTTTGTGCCAAAGTTTTTGTAGAAGACTCTTCTCTATCATTCGCTCGATTTTGAGTTGCTCAGTGTCAAGTTTCCTTGTTCAACAAACATCACAAATTAATGAAAAAGTTAATAAAAACTCCCTTCATATTATATTCAAAAACCTGTATCAAGACTCTCCAAGTCTCTGTCTGTGTTTTGCCCACCAGGTTGGTCAGCAAGAATAATGATTTTGTAAAATTGATTGATCTCACGAGAAGATCAACTTAATCATTGCTTGATAGCATGATTGTTTGCAGGTCATTTTCACATTCATTCAATACCTGGACGTTTGAATGAAATTAGTAACAAAAAAAAATAAATGCAAGTGACGATTATTATTTTTCAACAGTTTCTGTAAAAGAACTAAGAGATGAGTTGTGGAAACTACGAGAAATTTAGAATGAAGAGGCTAAATACAAAGTAAATAGTGGACTATACATCAGATATGGTGCAATTGCAGCAAAGTGAATGTTTGGCTACAAGCATTTCCGAAAACTATGGAGCCTGAACATGCAAAGATCAACTTAGATAATTAATTAGAAAACTATCCTTGAGACAAAGAGGGAGAATTTTGTAATGAATAAATTTATCCTACTCTCTTGCTATCTTCATATTTTAATGATATTCACAATTGAAGAGACTGAGATGGATGACATTACTTATAAAAATGATTTAAATAACTTTTCATCACTCAAATTAGTGCGAAACTCTTTATAGGTCAAAGACGACAAAGAATCTAAACGTGAGGTAATGTCACTGATTTTTTGTTATAATTTATGTATTTGAGGAGAAGCTAATTGACACTATTTTTGGAATCTGTACAGGTTTTTTTAAACTTATAATGGTGTTTATTCGTTTTGCTGTTAATGAATAAGAAAACAGGAAAGATTGTGGAGCGTCGAAATTTAAATTGTATTTTATGGTTTTAATCATCAAACAGTAAATTGGGAAATTCTAGGGCAGGATCTTCCGATATGTACATGATGCATTCTGGCTAAACCCTTCTAACCTACTTGCCCATTTTTATATACGTAATATTATGACAAATCAGACTTCAACAAAAGAGCTGACTTAAGAGACGACTTTGTTTGACTGAAATACAAAGAGTGTTCAGCATACTAAAATTCCACTGCCCCTCTCTATAATATGAGAACGGCTTGACTTGAAAGCCACGTAATTCAATTGCGGAGTTTCAAAATTTCTCTTCCTGTTCTACCTTTTGATGAGAGAACAAGCTGACTTTGATGCTTGAAACTCTAACAGGAGGGAAATCATGGTATTCGAGAAATTATTTTGATTAATGTTCCAATTGAAAAATGAAGTATGACTGAAAGTGTGAGACCTTGCTGGCTGAGAGAAAAAAAAGAGAGCACAAGGTTGAAGAGGAGCAGAATACAGTATAAGCAAAAATGCGGCTTCCTATGACTTATAAAGCTCTACAGATGCTTTTCAAAGCTGAAATGCTGAATGAAAGCAAAAAAATAAAAACTACTGCAAGTTAGGTATTAGAATATGAAATAACTCTTAGAAAGTTATAGTGGATGAAACCTGGTTAATTAGGTTAGCGGAAGTACTTCTGCGTCCAGAGAACATTTCAACAATAGCATTAATTGTTATTTTATTTATTGTACTAAGCACTTAAATACTTGTTAGCACCAATTTTAGTAAAGCATCCAAAATTTCTGACTACAAAGTAGTCACAAAAAGCATTTAAATCATAGAAGCCATTAAGCTGCCCATGGTGATTGTAATTTCTTTCACTTAACTCGTTGAAGCTCAGCTACTAATTCGAGATACTACAAAAATAATGGATTCAATTTTAGATAAATTCGAAAAGTATAACAGTTGGTTTTGCAATTTTTTTTCTAATATCCCAGTCTTGCACCTGCATGAACTTCACCTCCATTTAACATTTTGGTTGATCACAATCACAAAGCAGTAAATAATCTTACTCTTGTTAGTATGCTAGAGAGCGATGTAATCGCGCAACTTAAAATACTGATGCATAACTTAAAACATCATTTTTCATCAAATGAAAATGGCTAATATTTGTCCTCATTCAATAAACTTTGTCTGAATCTTTACAATAAAATCATAAGCATTTTTTCATCATATGAGGCGGTGAGTATAGCTGCCCTTTCAACAATACTTCATTCCTAACGCTTCCCCTTACGTGTTAACCATCACTTGCGTCTAGCAGTGCTGTCTGTATCTTCTTGCCTACTCCCTCCTCATTTCCTTGTCATGCTTTGTACCCTCCTTGTTCCTAGGAATTAACAAACATTCCCTTAAGAATCCAAAACATTCCGTGAAGTGAATCATCTTAAAATTAGATGAAGGACTGGAGAAGAGTGTTCTCACGCCCGAAGCTCCTGGCAAAGAAAAAATATCAAATCTACACTAGCTTCACGAAGTTCTAGAAGATCAGATGCTGTACAGGAGACCTTACTGAAAGAAAATAAATTTGAACTGCTGTTTACCTTTTCCTCTGTTTCGCTTTCTTCCGTAGCACTCCCTTCGACCTTCGGTTTGATGTTCAAACATTGAGTTGGAGATGAACCAGACGTGTCGAGAAAAAGGAAGAGCATGAATTCACAAGACAAAAGACCAACATAAAAAGAAAGGGAGAGGGGGTGTAAATGAGTGAACAAAAACAACTCAAACCACTATGAAGCAAACACGGACTTTGGTTAAACTTAGAGCAAGCATTCCGATGGCAGTCCCTTGAAGCCCCTTGGTTAAAACGTTGAAGAGTTGGCATACAACAGGTCTTTTTTCCCTTGTCATAACTGATGAGTCATTTAGATAAAGAGTTTAATGAGGTAACTCGATGAAAAAAACTTTTACCATAAACTGTCATTCATCAGTCATTTTCAGGTAAAAAAAGTAATTTGACGTTCCCTGTAATGCATGTTTCCTACGTTATTATGTCTTTTGATGGAGAAATTTGTTCCTTCTAAAAACGTGATGCCAACACAACAATAGATAATGTTTGTATGATGATGGAGTGAAATATCAGCATTGGTAAAATTTTCATCTAAATTGCATCTTTGAGTCTAAGTTTAGATTAAGTATCTATCATCTGTGTTCATGCTACATTTTTTTCGCGATTTAATCAATGTTTTTTGACCCAAACAAAAAATGAGTTCTTCTTTCTGTCTCTTTCATTTTTAATCCATTTTACGCCTTTTTAGAGTTGAAAAAGAGCAGGTGGCTTTAACATTTAAGAGAATGAGGCACTTGAAAGTTGATGTTTTAAATAATGTTCACGTTCACTACATAATTATATATTAATGTGCATAAGTTATAAATAATAGTAAAGACCATATTTCTACAGATACACTTGCTATGTAATTATCGAGATTGTTTAAGCTGACTGATTTACAATAACTCAAATAAAAAATGCATTGCATGATCTGAGATCAGGCTGGGACATTTTTTGGTGATTTTTTGAAATGCCATACTTGTCTAATTCGTTCTCTCTCATAATGAAAAAAGAAAAAAACTGATTGTTTCAGTTCAGTGTTCGTAAAATGAGAAAAAATGAAGTGACAGCGAAGGGGGGGAAAGAAGCTTTGATCTAAAATGAGCCAAAAAATGAAAATCGCTTTTTGATAATTGTGGATAAAAAATAAGACTATCATTAGAAGAAAAGGTTGAGACATTTTTTTTAAACAAGCAACGAAGAAACGTTCTTTGTCATGAGAAAATATTACCAGCAAACTTGTTGTATGCATAGCATTTTTCGTGGAAATTTTATTATTCAATCTTTCAAAATGTATATGATCCTGTGTTCTCATGCTACAATACTACATGCTACTTCTTCTGCTTTTTTATTAATATTCATCTTGATGATAAAACATGAATTGCAATGGAATTTTATTTCAGAGGTGTCAATGCGGAATTTGGTAGCATCATATCCAGTAGTGTTCAAAAGATCTGTGATTTCAACCTTCATTGGAGGGAGGCAAGCTTCCCATTACTGTGTATCACCTGGGGTACTGAAATATGCAAAAAAAGAGAGCCACACAGGAGACGTGACATTGAACCAAACATGAGTCTAACAAGCGAGTGAGAGGCTACGTCAAACGGTGCTCATTATTCAACAATTACCAAAGGGAAAAGCACATGGCTGAAAAATATTCTCACCTGACTAGAGGCAAATGCAGAGAAATCAGGTGTGACTGCTCTACTGCTTCCACCGGTTTTCTGAAAATTCAAAATAAAATCAAGTCATTTGAAAATGTTGTTATAGTTGAAAATTTAACTGCAAAATAATGAGTTGATGAAGTAATTTTTTTATTAAATCATTCAAATGCATTGATTGCTCCGAGCATTCAGTTATTTGTCAATCTTTTTCCATGGTGACAACAGGAAGAAAACTGATTCTATGGTGCAAAAAATTAAGGTAGTCGTAAAAGGAGTTTGAGTTAAATGCTCGTTATTCACAGGTATGAACAAGATAGTTAGTATAGCGGCAAAATCTAAAATGAGCGAATACACAGCATTGTAGCAAAGTGTTGTTGATTAAGTACTACACTACAATTGAGATGTATATTTTTGTTTTTCCACTATCGATGTTAAAATTAGAATATTCAAAACTTTCCATTTTCAAATTGTTTAACTTTCTCAAGGTAAACGTGAAACTAAGCACGAATAATTTATCACTTATATTTTTACATATAAATACAAATTTATTTTTAATTTGCTCAAAAATAAACAGAAGGCTGTTTCTTTAGACACAGAATTGCGTCCATATTTTGACAAAATCTGAGGATACAGCCTTCTAGCTTAGGAAATCAACTGGGTAGAACATTTTTATCAGCTGTAATAATGTGTTTTTATTTCTTTTCATGTTCTTTCCACACATTTTTAGTAACAAATGTTGTCTACTACTTGAATTTTACTATCTGTTTCGTTCACGTACGACTTTTCATCTAAAAATGTAACCTCACTTGTTAGTAAAATCGAAACAATTGACATGCCTAGATACTTATTTGACCTTTAAAAGATGAGGTCACTACCTGGATAAAATTTTACCTGAGGTTCAAGTTGTGAGAGGATTGGTGGGGTTGTTGTTGGTGCTGCTGAGTAACTGTCTGGCATTGGTGAGCTTGATGTGACAGGTTTCACCTGAAAACGCAGAGAACAACAGTTATGCAACTTGTCCCATTTTAATGAGACACTCAATACATGAATAATAAATTGAGATAGGAGGCTAACATTCTTTAAAAGAGAAAACTTTCATCCAATTCACATTAAAAATTACACCGACCTTAGAGAATACTTGCTTCTTACAATTCACCAGTTCAGTGTACTTGCCGTAAAAATTGAGCTGAATTTTATTCCTATCTACTCATGATGAAATGGATTAAAATACAGATGATATATCAAAAGTAAGGTCTCTAACAATTCAATATTAGAGAAAAGGCTATGCAATTGCGCTAGGAAAAAGTTGACAACAGTGCCTTACAACCTCCCTTACAAAACGTCCCTTGGAAGTATCGATCTGAGAGCTTGTGGACGGATCAGAAATTCACTTGGATAGGTATCATAGTAGTATCTTCACAAATTTACTTCTAATAAAATTGAAAAAGATTGCAAAGATTGATGAACGGCCTGGACATTACCTCAGGTGGGGCTTCATATTTCTGAACATAGTTGGATGGGAAAATTCCTGTGCGGTCATCAATGGTGCCAGTCCACCAGTCTCCCTCCTTCTTTGTCACTAGAATAATCTCGTCTTGATTAAAGCTTAAGTCGCCGACTTCCACTGACTGATATGGATAAACGGCAATATAATATTCTGAAATGAGAAAACACTTGACTGTAGCACAAGTTTGTTGACAGAAATTCCACGACTTTTGTTCAAGATTACAAACTTTATATGTTTTGTATGTTTTGCAAGATAAAAATTTTTGAAATTCATCTTGTAAACTTGACTGTTTGACGCATTGACTTTCCGCTTTGAAGCACAATAGTGTTACCAGACTGTAGCGCAACAATAAATCGAAATTCTCTTAACTTTAAAGTCACCTATCAATATAATTATTGTGGGATGCTAAAAATTGAATAAGTCAGCATTTATAATATACACCGCTAGAAATTAGCAACTTATTTCTATTTCTTCATTGACTCACGGCTCTGAGTGCTGCGCTGCACTATTTCTGAACCAATGCTGGGGCTTGAGGCTATCAATTGTCATTAATTTTCAGATACATTGACAATTCTATGATAGACTGCATAGACTCAGTAGTGTGACAAATTTAAACTTTTTTTGTAAGATGATTCATTGCTTTGTTTTGAATTTCTCATCCAACCAAATAAATGGCTTCCATTCATGACTTGAAAAATACTACATAATAGATCCAAAAGTTAAAAAATGGCCTCCGGCCAACTTATGCTTGGCACGAGCGCCGGCATATGAGGGGCTTCACCCCCCATCATGGTGCGAGGATCGCACAATACTTTCTTGCTGAAGCCAGCGTAGACACTTTTACTGGGATATTCAGAAAAATACTGCCAATTTCACAGAATCATAAAGTTTGATTGGAATTTTAATCGAGCGATAATAGTCATGAAATTTTTATTCAAACCACTAAGCTTCATCGTAAATCTCTTCACAATATGTGATGTATTCATATATTCAGAATCGAACTTATTTATTTACTTGAGTCACATTTTAATATATACCTTGGAGTCCCGAGTCAGCGGTGCCATAATCAACAGCAACAGGTTCAACTGCTTCTGGAATTGCTTTAACATAATTCTTAGGGAACCACCCGGACTGACCGTTACACTCCCCGTACCACCAGGAATCCTGAAAATTATACAAAACACTACTTAACTTACATCATATCAACTGAGTATTTGAGCCCTGCTTTAATCTCAGAATATTCTGGGAAGTTAAACAAATTCTCGCCCGTACTATGGGGCCTTGTCAGTTTTAGGTAAGCTGCGCAAGAAGGTTTCCTTAACCACAAAATGATGAAACAAGTGACAGTGAAAGGATTCTCCCTAAAAATACACAGCCCTTCGAATTTTTTCAAGTAACTGGATTAATTCCTGCTTTCTTCAGCACTTTTGGAAAAACATTATCCATTATATTTTATTATGACAAAATTTTTTTTAATGCAACATTTTGGTTATTATGAGAAAAAACTATTGAAATATTGAAAATGGAGAAAACGAATTGTCTTTAAAAGCTTAATTCAACTTCCCTTGAATCTGCTAGAAATAAAGTAACAAAAAGTTGATGAAAAAAGCGAGTGGGTGTAAAAAATGTTTGATTTTTTCTCATAACTCCTCTCCTGAAAAGGGATTTACGGCATAAATCCAAATTGCAGAATATAATCATTTCCTAAGAAAATTGTCTTGATTAAACACTCTCTCTCCGGATTTCCTTCACAGACATCCACAGTTCACCTTAGATGCGAGAGGAAACCTTTTGATATACTATGGCGTGTCGGCTAGCATAGCACCGAACGTCTCCTAGCATTTCTGGAAGGAATTCAATGAACTCTGTAAAGCACTCCTGAGGGCAGTAAAACTAATACTTTAATTTTGAGTTTTTCAGCGTTAAATTTGAAATCTGCGAAGTTAGAAGATCAAACTTTCTTACTTCACAGTCTTTCCCCACCTAAAAGTCTAAACTATGTCAAATGATGTATACCTGATTTTCAGAGACTGCGATGATGTCACCCTTATTGAAATTCAAATGAGTATTCTTGCGTGCTATGAATGTGTACAGAGCCTCTGCTTTGAGGTTGACAGCGGTGCCCAAGCCAATGATGGGGTTTGCATCTTCGTTTTGAATTGGAGGAGCCCCTTCAGCAGCTTCAATTCCGGAGCCCGCATCGGATAAGTTCTCGGGTACTTCCGCAATGCCCCTGTCAAAACCAATGCTGATCAAACTTGTGACAACAAAACAAAACACCCGTTTTTGCAACATTGTTTACAAAAAGAAAAGAAAAAAGCTGGGTAACTTCAAATTTTGGATTTTAGCTTTGCAAACCTCAGTTATGAAACCATATCGCCAAACAAAAATATAGTATAGTACTCAGAAATTCACTTTCTAGCTCGTCAATATCTCAACATCAAATTTAAACTCTAAATAGATCCAACTCGATCCAATCCAAAAGATCCAATCTTAAAATCTCTCATGCTCGAAGGGTCGTACAAAAAGTTGTATTTTGTTTGGAGGTAACACTCACAACATGTTGTGAAAACAAGCAACAATCGCATTTTGTTCGCAGTTGTTTTGTATTGTGGAGGCGGAGCTCATTTTCGCGCACAAAAATTTGGGAGCCCCTACGGCAACATTGTTGTACAACAACTGCACCGTGCTCAAAGAGCGCTGGTTTCTAACCTAAACTTGGAAATTGCTCTCTCATTGGTTGTTCAGAATCGCATAAAAAAACAAGAAAAATACAGTATCATTTTGTTGTTTCGAATAAAACACAACTAAAAATGATGTAGAAAATAACATCATTTATCTAGCATGAAATTTCTCTAAATTTTGTACTGCATTCACACTGGTTTCCGAAACAACTACTGTTCTATTTTATTTCTCCTACTTTCATTTCCAGAATTGAGAAGATACCTCTGTGAGGGGTGGGGTGGTATATAATTCATAGTCTGAGTTACTTCATTTTAATCTATCAGTTAAAAGGAAAGAAAGGAATTTACAGAGATGAAAGTGTTTTATCTTAGAAGGACTTATATCTTACTCGAGTGGTCGATTGAGAGTAACAGCATCATCAGTATGCCCGTTGGCTGTTGAATAACTGTCATTGGCTTCTAGAGGCTCCACGTAAGATTCAGGGAACCATCCTGTTTGACCCCGCAATTCTCCTGCCAGCCATCCTGGTTCGGCGTTTTGACTAATTGGTACCTGCAAAAAGACATTTAAAATTATCAAGGGCTTCATTGCGCTTACCACAATAAAAGATGTGGTTTTTGACAACATACTAATAATTTTCGCCTCACTCATTGTTGACTGATAATAATTTCAGCACGTTCACTTTGTATCAGAATTAATTCACTTCTTGAAGGTAGATTTGTCTGAAAACATAAGATTATCTTACTTCAAAATAATAGCCAATCACCCAAAAACCTCACCTCCAGCTTGTGGGCCTGCGGCCCTGTAAAACTTTGTATACAGGGTAAAACTGGACAGATTCTGTACATAACTACACGTAAAAAAACTCTACAAAAAAGCGTTACATTAGCTCACTTTTCATCACTTGCAATTTTAGATCAAATTCTTCTGAGTGTAAATATTGAGTGAATTTCTTTTCAATGCTTTGTGCTCTCAATTCTGAGCTCTTGAGTATTTCTCAAGTACAGAAACAGGGGAAGGGGGGTGTGTGTTTCCTGAACATAGTTGCCAGATAGTGCTCCTCCATTTAAACTCATGTAAAATATCTGCATTTAATTGCACAATCTGGCAACTTTGGTCCTGAAGTTCCTGAAAGACTTTTGACTTGAAATGATCTAAAGAGGTTTCAGGCACAGGTAAAGTCATTGGCCGCTATACACTCACTTTTGGTGATTAATTGAGATTTTAAACAGAAATGTGGCAGTTTATTTCCAAGGGTATCAATATCCTTCCTACTTCCTATGAAACTAAAGCCTAGAGGATGCCGGAACTTTTGAGAGTATTCACTTTACTTACCATTATGACATCACCTGGTTGGAAAGAGAGCTCATCTCCATTTCTGGCAACGAATTCGTAGAGAGCTCTGTACTTTCTGTAGTTGCTTACTGCAAAAAGTCAAAATATACAACGCTTATAGAGAAGCAAATGTATTCAATTCATACAAAAGGTGGCAGGAATGGGGGGGGGAAAAAAATATGTATAAAAACTTGACAAACTTTTATACGCCACTTCAGAACTGGCAGACATGTTTTCCTTGACCGTTCAAATTTTCAAAATTCAAGGCAAACAAATTTTAAAATTTGATGATTTTTCATACGTGGGACTTCCCGTATTAGAGAGAAACCAAATTTTCAGGCAAACATCAGAAAAAATTGATTTTGTCAATACTGATAGTTATTTTTGAAATCAACTACTTACACTTGATTTAAGAATAAAGTACCCACAAGGATGCCAAGGTTAATAATACACATTAGCACACTCTATGGGAAGCTAAAAAAAGTTAGGAGATCAAGAACACAATGAGTAAAGTATTGATACTCTCTGGGAGTGCTAACACATTTTGAAAACATGATATATCTATGACAGGATAATGGCTTCGGAATACTATTCCACTACTCCACTAGTTCTGGCTAATATTTAAAGATTAATCAAATGTATTGCAATGAAAACAAATCCATCTTTCCTGGAAGAATAAAATCAGCAGAAAAAGAGGAAATATTACCTTCGACGGTGGTATCTTCTGACCATGTTGTAGGAGCCGAATCCCATGCAGCATCGGTGCTCCAGTTGTAAGATTTCATGCGATTTCCTTTAAGCTCTAAAACCTGTAAGGAACATTCCACAATGATTTCTCAGGTACACAAATCAAAACTAAATCATATTTTTCTGAAAGGGCGAAAGTCTAGATTTTCTAAAATCATTTTTGTTATTTGTTCAAACTCTTGAACAACTCCATAGTCTAATTTAAATGATCGGGTTCGCTGTTTCAGTTCAGAATTTTATTGAGATCTTGGTGCGTTAAAAAAGCAGCATAAACGATGTCAGTACATCTGAACTGAAGTCTTTTCAGAAAAATCCTATTCAACTGCAAGGATAAAATGTTGAATACGTAAATATTTCCCTCAATGAGACGCAAACTCAAGAAATAGGATGGCATCAACGGTACAGAGCTCTGATTAAAAATGCAGCTTAAGTATGATATACATTCTACTGGTAGATTAAATTTGGGGAGATAGAGAATGTATCAAAGCATCAAGATTTTTAAAAAAAATTTTACACATGAAATCAGCCAATCTCCATGGTAGGATGGTTACATTGTATTTCGCAAGTCACTATTTCTCAAAGCTTCACATAATCTAATTTTTGCATTAGGTATTTATTAGAGGAAACAAATATACATTACACCTTGAAATATTCTTTGATTTTTTTTTTATTGTTTCTGGATCATTCTAAACAAATTTTGATTGCTTAGATTCGATTTTTTCCCTAAAAAATAAAGAATGCACGGCAAATAAGAAGAGTCGTTTCTCGGTTTTGTAATTGGAGGGCCATTGGTTCTGAAATTTTAGCACTTTTATCACCTTCAAATTACATAGCTATCCTGCCATCGCAAATACTACACGATATTACAGCCTACCTTGTTTCTTTTTTCGTCGTAAACAATAAAGAGATCTTCGCATTCTGCTATGAGACTACGTAACTGGTCTTTTAATTCGCTAAGTTGAGTATTGTTGTTGTTGATGTCTTCTTCCTTGCTCTTTACCTGAAAAGAAAAACGATATTCTAACTAGTCCATTGGAAAATGGAAAAACACAGAAACTGCTTTCAACAACTTTGAAAACTAAAGTGCACTTTCAATTTATTCCAACAAACAGCTGATCATGAGATCAATTCTACTTTCATTGGTGCAGTGAGAAAGAAATTAGAAATTGAAAGCAATGACCCAACAGATTCCGTTTATAGACCAACTCAGATAAAATAAAAGAAAAGTGCCTTTTTCGATTGTATTTGACATATTACTGACACAATCCAGAAATAGTCATTTTTGAGTGAAGCTGATTTATAGCCTTAGTACAAAGTACTTTTAGATGGAAAAAAAGAAAAACGCCATAATTATGTGCATCTCAATGCAGTACATGTTTAACAAGCAACGTAACAGAAGTATCATTTTGCGTCTGGCCACATTCGCAGCAATTTTTGAGATAAAAATTACTTTTCAAATTGTTATGTTATTAACAGACAGTTTTTTCTGCATAAAGAATTCAACACTTCTTACAAAATTTTGTCATACAGTTTTTTTTTATAGAATTCTACATACTTTATCCTCAATATAAATAACCTAAGTCTTATCAACTTGTCATTTATCTCTGTAAAAAAACCAGTTTGGTACCATGCAAAGCCCAAACTCTGCAGCTTTTCATGCTGGAAGCTTATTTTCACACCGTAAAGGCAAAAATAAAATAAAATAAAATAAACTTGATCGAAAAATCATAATTTCAATTTGTACTTTCTAGACTGATATGTATATGATTCAGAAGTTATTTTCTTCTCTCTAAGACCAGGAAGAACTTTCTTTTAGAGGCATACAATATTTTAGACATATAATAATGAAAACTCACTTCTTTTTCCATTTCCTCCAATTTCTCACGCAGTTGTTTCAAAGCAATTTGTTTGTTATTCAGAGCGATTTTTGCTTGTTCCTGCGCGGCTGCATCTGTGCTGGATTGATTTAATTTATTTTTAGCTTCAAGTCGTAACTTCTCTTGACTCAAAACTATCAGTCGTTGGTTTTGATCTTTCAGCTTGGCCTTCAATGTTGACATTTCGTTCATTTGCGTGTCTCGAGTCGTGCGCATTCCATCAATTGTTGTTTTTACACCTGTTACTCCTGCTCTTGTATCGCCAATTTTCCGAGAAAGTTCTCTGACTTTGTCATTCTGTTAACAGCAAAGATAGCAAGTTTAATGGAATTCATTAATAAAAACGACTGTGGAGAAAAATATGAAATACATAGCTGCTACATTAGAGTATAATAGAGACTCAAAACAAAGATTGAGTTCACATAGGAACATGAAGTTAAAAATTAAGATTTAACTCACTTGCAGGTGGACTTTCTATCATTTGACCGTTTCAGGTGCGCAGCACACCATCATCAACAACATCTGATCAGTTGCTAATGATTGCCCCTTGACGCAACTGAAACATTACTGATGAAAGAAAGTTCACGTGCCAGTGAGATAAACCTTAATTTTAGAGCACTTGAGAGGCTTGGATTTTACAACTTCTGAGAACTTTTCTTGATTATTTTAAATTGTAGAAGTAAAGAGGATTCAGAACCCCAAAATCAAATATTTTTTACTTCATGATTCATGTCAGATTGGCACATTTTACTGAGAGACAAGATTAAATAATGATCTTACCAGTTGCTGCAGTTCAATGGTGAGATTTTGATTCTTGGCTTTCATGCGGAGGACAGCCTCTTGTTCTTTTTGTCTCTGTTGTTCTAATTCTTGGATTCGTTGCTTTTCCCACTCGAGTTGCCTTTGCCGTTCCATTTCACTGCAAAATTCATAATAAAGACACATTTAACTAATTTCAACTAAAAGTAAATTAATTATGAAAGTAGGGTTTAGCAAAAAACATTTTAATTTTTTTTTCATAATCTTCTGTCTTTTCATAGAGCTAAAATAAAAAGTGAAAAAATAAAAAAAGGAATAGAATTTCAAGATCATCCAACAGCCGTGTTGCCGAGGGAAGTTACATAAAAGTTTTTATGTTCTGTTCCCAGCTCAGAATTGGTAGATTACTACAAAACTTCACACCCGATATCAGTGCAGCATTTAATTAGACCATTCTCAACTCTATCTTGGAAATAATACACAGCATGTTCCATTGAAAAATCAAATTGTGATTTTTCAACTCACCTCGACAAAAAACTCTTGAACAGAAAATTTTATATCGGTGCGGTAGGGTTCTTTATCTTGTGGTTAGTCAAGATTAGCAACTTCTTACGGATAAAATAAAATTATATTTACCGTCTGGCTGCTTCTTTTTGTTCTAGGGCTCGCCTCCTTTCTTCCTCTTTGGCTTCCTCTATTTCTCTCTGTCTTTGCATTTGTTTTTCAAACTCTTCCTGTCGCTTTCTTTCCTGCTCCAATCTAAAAGAAAAATAAATCACAATTCTGAGGGCTGTTTAACTTCCTTTGGTCAAATTTGATATCTCGTCGAAGCAACACTTCAAACACTACTTTTGGGAATTTTGGGGCTTACATGATAAATTTTATGGTCGAAATAACAATTTAAAATCATTTTGGAACTAACCATCTGAATTTCCAGTTAAAACTTAACAGACCTTCAGGCTTTGACAAGTGGTTGGACCTGTAGCGAAAGGTGATAGAATCAGATCTGAGATGGATAAAAGACAATATGGTGGCGAAAATACATTGAGGCATATCTAAAATACAAAATTCCCCTACATACATCCTTCTTTAGAGGGACAACAAATAAAATATAAGGCTTCAAATTTTATTCCTTTTTTTTCGCCATTCCATGATCATACTGTGACAATTTGAAGGCAGCATGCTGACTCGCTTCCCTTCAGAGCACATCATGAAAAGAAAGTCTGAGTATAAACATTATTCATTCTTTTGAGATACACACTGTGTATCCTGAAGTAATTATTTTGAAAAAATGATTTACGTAGATACACAAGTTGCCTTGTCCTATGGGGTAATATATCAAAGGAAAACTCACAAATGCGGAATGGAAAACTTCTTCATTTGCACAGCAGTTCTTGAAAAATAGGCAGGAACAAAAATTTTGAATCACCGTTTGAGTAATTAGTTAGTTAGTTAGTGGACTAAGATGGAAAAATAAATCATAAGTATAGACTGAAAGTTAGGAGAATTACCGCAATTTTTCTCGCTTTTCTGCTTCTTCTCTTTCTTTTCTTTCCCGTTCTTCTTGTTCCTTTCGCTGAATTTCTAGTAAGGCTTTCCTTCGTCTCTCTAGTTCCGCTTGTCCTTTTTCAAAGTTTTCTTTTCTTTTATCTTCAAAAGTTGCTGAAATCAGAATGGAAGTAAACATTTAGAGGAGCATAGAAAAAATGGGAGAACATTGACTCCGAAATCATGATCAGAGGTTGAGAAAATGAGAATTTTTCCCGGGTAGTAGTAATAAAAGCTATATAAACTATCGATCTCTTGTAAAATTAAACTTCAGTTCCTTGCAGAACGATAAGTTTGCTTTCTTGGCCGATTTGACCTACATTGATTTCTTTTACAAATCAAAAATTTGAATCGAAATACATTTTACAAAAAAAAAACCCTGTTATTTCTGGCTCATTTTAGAAACAACATATGTTAAGTTCTTAAGTTTCTTTATGGAGATCTGTGCTTCTATTGATGAGCCAGAGATAGCAGTCCTTTAGTAAAAAAAGTAGTGCAATTGACTGATTATGATGTAAACAATTGATGCTAATCTCATACTCATTAATGATTTTAGAAATTCTCAAAATGTCCAACATGTCTTTTGATGGTCTTGTACTAAACTTTATTTGTAGACAAAAAACAGCAACTTACTTTGACTGATGCCGGCCAATGGGTCTGGTACATCATTGTTTGCAGAAACACTGTTTTGTCGCTGCCTTCGGAATGCAGGAGGAATGAGATCAATGGGAAGGGGCGAAGGGATTTTCTGCTTTGACCTAGCTAAATCGCAGAGATGCATCGCCAGAACAAACTCATCGCAGGATAATTGGCCGTCAGAATCCATGTCAGAGAGATCCCAGATCTTTGCTAGGTCGGCTTGAGGCAACTGAGACTGGACCAATAGGCCTCTTGCCTGAACTCCGGACAAAAAACCGCACCGTGTCCGGTCATGTGTGTTGAAAAGTTGAGTGTATTTTAACTTTGAGGCATGTGGCACTGACCATTCCACAGGTGCTTGGACTGCTGGTGGTCTGAATAAAAAAATAAAATGCAAGAGAAATTAAATTCACATCTCATACATTATTGGGGTCATAGCAAATCAAGAGACATGACCCATTAAACTTCTGGGCATGCATGAATTTAGCAGAACCTGCATTTTCATGCTTTGTTTGGTTGGAAAGAGTATCATAGGCAAAATGTTCTTTTTTCCCTTAAAATTCAAGAGAACTTGCTGTGCTGCTTGGATAGTATCACTCCCTTCATCTTATCGATTAAAAACTCGACTATAAACGCACAACTATGGACTTACATACTTACAAGGTGTCCATGAATTCTTCATTTTCTGTTTCATTGACTTTTCCTGACACCAAATTTTTAACTACGCTGACTGGCTCTAACTTTTGATTAAAACCTCAATATCAATCCAATATCTCCACTTCCAGTTTAAATTGAGGGAGAAGGCTTTCGGAAGTTGATTGCACTCTTTTATGCTAACTTGTAAAATTCTTTGATACTTCCCATAAATTTTCCAACTTTTCTAGGTCACTGTTAAGTCTCTGATTTTTTCCAGACCGCAAGAAACCCTGGCATTTCATCTGCAGAGTGAAGGCTTTTTATGTTTCTAGCAGGGATTAACATAAACTTCTAAGTTCATGCATATCCTTACAAAAATTGGCCATCTTTGCCAAGCCGCGCTTTGCTTGTAACACTTAATTCTGAGTTTTGTTTTGTTTCCGATGGCACTAAATATTTTTACAAGATATAGTAATGAAATTTGTGGCCGTAAACATTTTGCTCTAGTAATAGGGTTAATTTTTTTAAGGAGTTCATATTTTCAAACGTAAAAAGAAATACGATATCAGTGGTCGAAGTAGAAAAATTCATACCTCAGATTACGACATCATAAGTCTCTATGCATATTTAATCTTTTTAAAGTAAAATAAGCCAACAGTTCATGAAGAAGTTTTTGGTGAATATTCTTCACTGAAAACAAAAACTGAACGTCTGGAAAAATTGAACAAAATTGCATTGACATATTATGATTAATTTTTCCTGTTGAAAATAGAGCATATTCATTGAAATTTTTGCAGGCTCGCATCGAGGTACACATTTTTTGCATTAAGCCATAGACATTTTATTAAAATTGTTTTTAACATCTTTATTTTACTTACGGAGAATCCAAAGAACTAAGCTTTTCAAGGACTCCAGGAGCACCTGAAAAAAAATAAAAGCAACATCAATGAAAATGAGCAACAACATTCTTAAGTACCTATATACTAATACCTTTCCCTTGAATACAAAGTCTCAGCAGTTTCATCATTTAATTGCGATGCAATCACAGAAAAAAATCATTCCACAAATAAAACGATGGTAAAATTATCCGAACAGAGTCTCGTTCTGTCAAAAAACTTTCACCTAGGCCAGAGGCCGAAGTTTTCAAAATTGTTCTGGAGTACATAACTTCCCCAACTTTAGAGCATCATTCGTACAATGGAAAACTTGATTTTGACAACATATTTCTGTCGTTTGAATGAAATGTTTGGTTTGAGAGCAACCAAATTCTAAATATTTGAAGTAATTTTGAAAGAGAATGGTTTTGAGGGGTGGACTAAACCATTCTTTTCTAAAACAGAAAAAAAATTAAGAAAAAATAAAAATTACATGCCATAATTAGTGAAATTTGTTCGGATCGAAAATGACTCATGTTTGAAGTTTTACATCATTTTAGTTCCAAGCAAAAAAAACATATATTTTTTTACCACTGATTCCTAGTCTCTCTCTATGATAGCTTAACTACATTCACCAAAAATAATTTCAAATCATTTAAAACTGTCAGCTCCCATCAGCTCTTTTCGTTTTTTGCACCTTTTCCCCCTCAGAGTTAGATCGCTTTTGAACTGGAAAAATCAAATATAAGGATACCAGTAATTATAAAATGACAAGAGGAGGACCACCTTACCTGGCGGAGAAGTTTTTGTGGGCGCCAAAGGAATGCCTGGAGGAGAGACCAAAGAACCAGCCAGAGGCTGCACACCTGGAGGCGAAACAACACCTGGCACTGATGTCAAGGGGGTTCCAGATACTGGAGGTATGTTACTGGCTGGCAGAGCACCGTTCATGAGAGAGAGATCACTCAGGCCAAAACCGCTACCACTTAAACCAGCACTCAACGGTGCTGCTGCTGTCACTGGTGACATACCTTGAAATTGATATTTTAACTTTAGATCTTTGGTGTAGTACAAAGTATACAAATTGTGAAGTAAAAGAATTTATGGCTTGTCACTTCATCAATATTCTCAAAATTCATAAGTCTAGAGAGAAAACGTTGAGACTTATTGGCAAGGGGGCATAAAAGCGGACTTTTGAAGAGGTTAATCACGAGTTCCTTTGTTTTTCATCTGTTTGCGACACAACAGAATACCTACACCACTATACTGTCCAACATCAGCCAGTTTCCCTCCTTTACTTTTCATGAGGATTCAATGAAATGTGGTCTAATAAATTTTTAATGCCCCTCCCCTCTTATAAAAATGAACAATTTTTCAGACTTGGACCCCTGGACCCCTTCCCGACTTTACAAAGCCTTGGATATTCTTCCTCCGAGAAAATAATGCATGGTTTGTTGAAAATCTCCAGTAAAAGTGATGTATACTTTAAAATGTGCCTTCATTTTCTACTACATATTTAATTAATCGCAAAGACAAGATATATGAGTCCGTCCTGATTTCTTCCCATCAAGCTGCCGGTGACTTTAATCGGCTTACATGGAGAATAGGATTCTCCTCATTAGATTGTATGCGATATTATCAAAGAGATTATATGCGATGAAATAGATGACCTTTTTTTTTCTTGACTATGATAAGGTCGAGGGCGTTGATGAAACAATGATGGTTACTTTCAGGGATCATTTCTCAATGAAATAAAAAAATTCTGCAGCTGTCATGAGAAAATAGATTGAATTAAGGGACATACCCACTGGCGGTGTGACACCAACGGATGATAGAGGTGGAATACCAACAGGAGACATGCTTGTTGGAGGTTTGCTGACAGGTGGGATCCCGATCGGAGGAATTGCGACTGGCGGGATGCTAACCGGTGGGATGCCAACAGGCGGAATACCCCCCATCACACCCATGGCACTAGTAGCTACAGTGTTCGGCGGGACGATCGGGATGTTGGTGCCGGGAGGCGTCACCATTTTAGGAGCAGCTGGCATGGGAGGAACAGCCGGACGCACTGCAGGAGTAATAGGAGGAATGCTCCCTAATGGCTGTGACATAACTGGCAGGCTCGTAGGTACAGGAGGAATAACTGGTTTTGGAACACCTGGAACAGCTGTTATCAGAAAACAAGAGACAAAGCTATCAGACATGTAAACTAGCTAGAGATACCATCCTCCTGCAAAGTACAATAATGCTTCAGATTTTGATGACCATGTCTGGTTGAAAGACATGCAAAGTCCTTTTTGGACACTGTGCCAAAGGCTAAACTTGGAACGGCATATCCTGTTAGCATCATTTCTAAACTTCTGCTCCATACTTATTTTGACAAGGGGATACCGAACAGTACAACTAATATGCGCAAATGCAAAGTATTGCACAAAGATTTATCTGTCCGTGAAAAATCCTCTTTCATACGATGAAGCATGAGAATTTTTCCATCAGATTCTCTTGAAAAGTGTTCTGACTGCCCTGAGTTGTTTCTATGGCACTACTGATATACCACTCTATAACCATAAATGTAGTTATATCATAAAATCAAAGAGACATATGGCTTGAAAAAAATACCTGTCATTTGGAGTGATTGAATCATTGATGGAGGGATGGCTTTTGGAACCTCAATACCACGTAATTTTAAACTGATAAGCTTGCAGGCAATAGAAAATTCATTGATATTCATTCGACCATCTGCATCCGTGTCCGCCAGAGCCCTGTGAGAGAAGAAAATATTCAGCTGAGTATTGAAAGTTTAAATGAACTACTTAGATCACTCAAATACATTTACTATCTGTAAACCAAAGTAAGCATTAGACTGTCGAATTAAAGAAAACTATTAATATTTAGCGGGAAAGACATAATGGGCTTCTAGAAAAGATCTAAACTACAAAAGAAAACCACATGTTTTCTCTTCAAAATTTTAAGTAAAGAACAATTCACGTGACGGAAAGTTCGGATATTAGGTCCTGAACAAGATATTAACAAATATTTTTAACACAGATTACATGGAAGTTAGACTATACAAATGGCATCATATGTATTTTTTCCATTGAACCAATGTTAGTTGTAAACGGCTAAACAATAATATCTTGTTGGGGAGTTAATTTCCAGAATTCTCGTTGTGTAATTTGTTTGCTTCAAGCATTTTTTACATTACAAATGTTGACATAGAGTACCTACTTAGTGCTGATAAATATAATTTGAATGGTGGCAAGAAGTGTATGACTCAATTGATTATCCTAATTCTGGATGGTTCCGATTTCCTGAGGCGGAGCATAGGGGTGCTGAGACTTCCCCATCACACGATCATGGGTGCATGGTTATTGGAAAGAAAAAATGAAAAACTAAAAGAAATCAGGTTGGGATGGAGTTAAAATTGTGGTGAAATGTGTGTTTTTTGCAAGATAATATCAATTTGTGAATGAAGGGCAAAAATAGGAGGTCAATAGTTCGTCACCTTCCAGGCAAAGTATCACAAGCGCCATGCGACGTTTAAAAATTTCCGCCGCCATTATATTTTTTTACAGAGAAATTGTTCAACGAAGCTGTCCGAAAATTTCACTGAATTTTCTTTGTGCTGCCGATAAAATTTAGTGAAATTTCCAAACAGATTCAACCAACAATTTCTCAGTAAAGAAATAAAATGGCGGCGGTAATTTTTAAACGTCGCATGGCGCATGTGATACTTTGCCTGGAAGGTGACGAGTTGAGGTCATAGTTTTTGAAATTTTAGGAAAAAGGGTGTATAAAATGGAGAGGCCGATTTTAACCCTTTCCGGTCCGCAGCAGTTTTCCACGGCCGTCGTTAAGTGAGGTTAAGGTAGCAGCGATGTTGTCAACAAAGACAGTGGTTTCCAAAGGCTCCACCAGAGGCCGCCACTTGCTGGAGCAGTCGAATATACCCGACATCGGGCCTGCACAGAAGTTCAAAGTTTTGGGCGACTATATCCGACATCGGACCTAAACGCATTATTTTTCACGGCGAATATATCCGACATTGGACCGGAAAGGGTTAAAAAAAGAGCACGCTTTTTGAGTAGATAGAGTAAGCAAAAATTTAGCTGGAGTCTTGATTAGGTTCAATAAAGCAATTTCAAGTAGTGGAAAAAGATTTAAAAGATTAAAAAATCAACCTCAGAGACCATGTTGCACCCAGCATAAAAACTTAATATTACCATATTGCTCCAAGAACAGGAAGTGGAAGTTGAGAGAGCATAAAGAAACCCTTGGCTTGATCCCCTGTGATAATGCCATTGATTGGCTTTAGACCTTGAAACTGACTTTCAAACCTTGCCCGCTCCTGCGGTGTGATCACCCAGGGATCCATCTTAGTTGTTCCGCTGCTTCTGGAAAAATAATTAAACTCATTAAGACAGGTTGCATTTCATTTAAAAAGCTCAATATTAATGAGCAGAGAAGTCCATCAAAACTCCCACATTCTAGCGAGGAAAATTTTGTTAAAAAATTAAGCACATTTTTGACTGCTGTTTACATGAGGTCTTCATGGCAGTTTCATTTTATAATTCATAAACATTATAGTTTGATTAGTGAGAGCTCTCTTGAGTGAAGAGCCGGTCTTGCGAAGACAAATCGACCAGGATAAAATGCGCAGGGGGCGTTTAACAAAGGTGAATGGTGCTCTACTAAAGACTATCAGGATGACAGGGCCTAAACGTTCAACCTGGAGAAAAGAAAGGAGGATTAGAGCGAAAGAACTTACTGTTTCATTCTTACCAACCAAATAAGCCTTACCGGCTGGGGGAGAGATGGTCTCTAAATGAAGCAACGGAATGTATCAAAAGGGGGTGCAGCTATGATAAGTAGGACACACTGATACAAAATAGAGAAGAAGTTCTTCGCAATTAGGAGCTCTAGGAGGAATTGAAAATGTGTCTCCTCAGGAGGTGTAGCTGCACATTTGGAATGGAAGTAGATGAATTGCACAGCTACAACGTATTCGAAATATCCACCTCCTCGCACTACAACCCGTTTCTAGAAGCTGTGACGGATGAGTAGTGGTTCCACGCATAGGTCTACTGAGGAGGTGGTTCCCACCAAGGGGTTTCGTGCAAAGGCTGGCCGACCAAAGTAAGCAACTGTTGGTTACATTAAACAGAAAGTAACTGTTCAAAGCAACATAGTTACACTCGGGTGTTCACACTTCCCGCTGTATGTCAACGAGTCCTGAACTCCAGCATTCCAAGACAGCATAGCCAACAAGTCTGAGAAATCTGATTTTTCAGCTAGCAGCTGAAATAATAGGGGTAAGAGACCGACTAGAACCGCTCTTTTTGAAAACTGAGAGACAGATGAAATGATCAGAAGGGATGCACCAAGCCAAAGAAAGTAGATGGTGGTATAGTTGACTTTTTACCTGACTATCACAGAAGAACGACCCTGTTTTAGAACGATGACATGTTACTGCAAAGATTTCGGAGGAGACTTTTAATTTAACTTTTAAAGGGAGTGAAAACGCAAGTTAAATCATCGCGGATTCTTAGAACTACTTTGAGGATGACTACAAATCGATTCGAGGCAATTTTTTGACATCCGGGGGGGAGGGATAGGATCGATTGATAATGGTCCGTCTACGAACGAGATTTGAGGTTATTTCCACCATGACACTTCTTCAAGACACGCAGCTGCCAGATTTGACTTTACCAACTGAGCAACTTTGTATCTTGAAATAAAAACTAGTTTTGGACACCGATCATTAAATTTTCTTGGCATAGTTTTAAGTGTTTTCCTTTAACGACAAATACTTCTAAAACGCACCCTAAAAATCTGTAATTTGGGTAGAGATGCTTGATATTTCAATTCGTAAACTTTAATAGTGAGCCGGCAACGATGGAACTTGAAAAATTCGTGTGTGACGAAAAGCTCTTCTGATGTTTTGTTATGATTCGGGTGCTGTCGCTTCCAATGTATTGAAATTTCCTGTCAAGACGCCCTTATCAAATTCCATTCGTGTATATTTCACGGGACGTGTTTCAGTGAAAGTGTCGGTTCAATTAGAGCTTCTGTGGAATTTTCGTGTTTGCATGAAATTCGTTATCAAGCCGAGTAATTAGGTCAATAGCCGCTCTTACTTTTGATCTCGCCGTGGTTTTTCTCATTTTCCGAAGGATTTCCATCATCAGGATATTATCCCTCAGCTGCCAACCAGGTCAGACTTTCCTATTAATTTCTTGTAAGTTACGCATAAGTTGCAAGATCATTTGGTTTTTGTGACGTTCAACAGTGAGTCTGTCCTACTTCTGATGTCTGCGCATTGGGATTCCCTATCAACAACCTCAGAACATTTTCTGTGGCTCTGCGGAAGATTGAAAGCCATTCTCCACTGTTCACTTTCAACCAATTAATCCTACACTTGCTTCAAAAACAACAGTCAATCACCCAAGGAACAGGGGGAAAAAATCTGAATGGTCAGGTTGGCAAGGTCTGAGAAATTTGAATCCTTTCTGCGGAAAGTTCCTTGAAATTTGAAGGCACTGAAATGATTTTGGGAACTGCCCGTTGGCTGAAGTAAACTGCGCAATTTGTTTACCTAGACATGTGGGTACACTAGAGCTTACTCATAGTACATGGAGACAAAAGTTAAGTCTTTTTTGTGCCACGTTCATAACTGGTGCCATCTGATTAAATGTATCAATCTGCCGATTGTGTATTGGTACTGATTTGGAGTTATCTGCATTATATATTTACCTCAATGTATGATGAGTGAACTCTACCATATGCAGCACCAGTATCACATCCAAATCTACGGTCAAGGCGCCCAGCGTGTCAAACTTCACATTAGCGCAAAATCAAAGACATTCGCTTTAGCTTTCTTACAAACATATTTAGTAAAAATTCTTAACAATTTGTCGATACAAACTTGTAAGTCCTCTCTTCATTTTTTCCGTTCAAAATCAGTGACAAAAGTAGATGGCAAAATTGTATTTTTTTATCTTTTGAAGCCATCTATCTTGCAAGTGAGTGAGTATCTTACATTCAATTAAGAACCAGTGTGAGAACATTTATTAAAACAGACCTCAATATGGAGTCTAGTTATTGGAGGGAGGTATGGCTCTCAAGTTTGCTGTGTACGTTAGTGGCCAAGGACAGCATTGGGACCTGTCTAAGGTACGCAGTCAGATTTCTTCTCTCAGATTTTTTTGCTACCTTCGATAGCTAACTTGTGTGGCAGACTTGCAGACCTTGATTGCCAAATCTCAATACTCACACTGAAAAAGTAGGGCCAAAATAATTTTTTGCAAATTTCAACAACTAATATTGATTCCACATCTCTAACAATACTACCATCTTATGACCGCTGCAGCATCCTCCTCCAATATTGCAGGGGTTTTGAGGGTATTTAGGCAATATCCAAACAGTAATACTTGGCACCGGAGGGAGGAAATCTTTTTGACCCCTTGTTTTTTTTTTTAATTGGTGCATTATATATTTTCCTTGCCGTTTGATGTTTCCACACCTTTCAGCCTACTCATCCATTTTCCTCGTTCATTCCTCATCACTGACGAAAAAATCTCTCTGATCTTCAACAAAGTAAAGCTCTCAGGGTTTCCTTGTGGTAGTGCGTACTTACCCAAGTTCTTAAGGGTCATTTTAAAATAAATACATGGCTTAAAAATTTGGTTTGGTTTGATATGTTTATTAGCCAGTTTAAAGGAAGGAAAGATAGACTTATTCATTCAGAAAGGGATTGTGTTGTGAATGCAAATCCTATTCGCATGGTTTATTTTAGCCTAAATATGTCCAGATAATCTGTAAATATCTGATAAAATGTTTTAAACTTTTCATAGAATGCTTGACGGAAGTAGGTATAAACTAGGTAGTTACCCGCTGTTCCTCAAGAAATGTCATGATATTTTTTTGGATGATTTGAAATGTATTGCATGTGTCTACAACTCAAAAATATTTACCAAGTAGGCTTTAAAAATTTACCTAACATCTGGTTCTCGATGCTACTCCTCTCTTGGTAAGCTCCTCAAATCTCCATTAAGTGAGTAAGGAGTCAAAATCTGTATGAGCCATGTTGGACACAATAATTCAGTTCTGATCAACCCTAAATCAATGGGAGATAAATCCCTTACCAAACCATCTCTTAATGCCATTTCTTGGCAAGTTTTGGGTCTGTTTTCAAAATTTTTGGCTTCTTGTTAACTATTGAAATATTCTTGGAGCAATAGTACCGGACAACTCGATTTTTAAAATTTTGATGTAAAGTTCCTTTGGGGTCGTTTAAGAATTAAGTAAGCCATCAGGGAGGGATGGTCTGGGTTGAGCTTATAGGGTCCTATGAGAAAGGGGGGGGGAGAGTCATGCTTAGGTGTAGGTAAGCTCCCCTCCTTTTTTTCTTAAAGAAAAACATACAAAATAAACAAATGAGATAATACAGGGTGTCTAGCATTAGGATTTTCCTGATTCTATCAGGATTTGAGGTCAATCAGGATTTAATCCAATTTCATCAGGATTTGAGGAAAAATCGGTCGCACAATCAGGATTTGAGAAAAGTCGGCCGTCCGCTTATTTTTCGTTAGTTATCCGATATCCGTCCGTTAAATTTGCTCCGCAAAAAATCAGGACTCGATCAGGATTTGGAAAACTTGTAAAATCAAGATTTAGCTGTCAAAAATCAGGATTTCCCAAAATGAAAAAAAAGTAGACACCCTGAATATCTTTCCATGAAAATAAATGTTCTCAACAATTTTTCAAGTTTTCTACGTTATATTTTGGAAAAAGAGGAAGTGGGGAGTAAGAGGCTGGTTTGGGTGGTGGGGGGCAGTCAAAAAAGGGCCAAAATTGCTTACGTAATACTTGAACGGCCCCTCATTCTGCTGTGCTTAGGAAGAACGCCGTATGAGCCTTCAGGCGTTGCCAAATTTCCTCTGACAAATCACTAATTTTCAAGAAAATATGTACATATTTTTCTTCCAATTTCTCAGATAATATTTTTCGTACTTTGATCTAAAAAGTCTGAAAATTTCAAGAAAAATATTGATAAATTCCTTTAGAAATAAACATTTTATTGAGGGAAATTTGGCAACTTTCTAATGTTCATACACTGGAAAAAAAAAACACATTGGATCTAGAGTCCAGACTCTTGAAAACATTGGCAAGAAAAAGGACTCTTGATTCAATCAGATTTAAGCTTTGATCAAAAGGAAAACCGCTCGAATGGACCACTAGACAAGGTACGAATTTCAGCATTCTGATACACGTTTCTTTACCAAAATTTCACGTAGAACACGATAAGCACAACGAAAATTATCGAAATCAACTCCTTACGAAGATATTTACTGATTCTTGATGCGTGAATTCAAACCACCCGCTCATGAAAACTCAATATTCTAAGTGATTCACATCAAGCGCTAAACGTTTATCATGACAGTCTCTGCGATATAAAAATCTGGCAACCTCAATCTTAACGCTTTGGCTCAGGTATAGCAAATTGCTTATAGTTTGAACAACACATGGTGGGAAATGAACATTGCTCGATAGAGAAGATTGCCGAAACCGTTCTAGTGCGCGATTTGACTCACGTAGAGCTTTGAGTTTCTTGTGAGCGGGCAGTTCAAATTTCTCATAACCAATGTGAAATAAAAACGTTAATATCTTCGTTAGGAGTTGGTTTCAGTAAATTTCGTTGCGCGAGTCGTGTTCTACGTGAAATTCAGGTTAAGAAACATGTATCAGAGTCCTTTAACTCGTACCTTGTTTAGTGGTCCATTAAGAGGCTTGGTTCTTGATTTAAGCTTAAATCTGACTGAATCAAGAGTATTTTTTTCTTGTCGATGTTTTCAAGAGTCTGGACTCTAGATCCAATGTGTTTTTTTTCCAGTGTTCATACTGCGTTCTTCCTTACCACGGCAGCATTCTTCTGGATATTTGATGAAGATTCTAATGGATTGGGACGATTTTCTGATTTCAGATGATGTGAAGATCTCGGCCTGGAGTGGGATAGTGGAGCTTGCGGTGGGCTCTCGGGAGTGCGTGGGCGGGCGCGGGCGCGGTGAAGGCGGCCGTGGGGACGGGGCCACGGAGGCCGGAGCCACGCTTCAAGCGGAGACTGCGACGCTGGTGGTTCACCGTGGAGAAGCGGGAGCCGACCGCGGATGAAGGCGACCCCGGTGACGTCATCGAGTTCCCCTCCGCCCCCGGCCCCGGCCCCGCCACCGAGACCGGAAATGGCGCCGGAAGCCCCGCGCCGGCGGCGCCCGTCCAGTTCGACGAGGCCGTCGGCGGGGTGGGCGTCGGAGTGGGCCGCGGGGGTGACTACGTGAACCAGCTGGTCGTGGCCAGCGCCGTCCAGCGCGGGGGTGGCGCCGAGGGGCCCGGCCCGCCCGCCGGCGACTTCTTAAGGGCCGCGTGCGCCGACAGGGTCCTCGACTCGGACGGTCGGGTGACCGCCCTCTGGATCAACCTCAGGTGGAACCTCTCCGCAAGCCGCCATCAGCTCAGCGCCGACGATTGGATTGGACTCTATCCTCTAGGTGAGTGCCTCCTCTATTCTTTCCCGCTTTGCCCGACAGTGGGCTCATTCTTGAAATTGACAGATAAAGCTATAGACAAAAGAGACAGTGAGTGTGGAGCGATTACATTGGTTCATCTGATAGACTAAGGGGGTAAATGAGGGACTAACTATGGGGTGTCTTGTGGGTTGTCGTTCGTTAGCCTATTGCCTACCTCCTTTGTCCATTGTAGCCACCGGCTTCCACCAATAGGATCCCTCTATATCCCTTTTGTCTTCGTTATCTATAGCTTTGTCTTATCATTTTCAACAAAAAGCCCGCAGGTTAGGAGGATTGCCGAAAATTTAAGAGCGGAGTTCTTGCATATTTCAGCGGGCTGATTATTGAAACTGTGTGTTGATCATTGATCAACTGGACATTATTTCCCAGACTAAAGGAACACCGCTTTTAAGACGCGAGCAAGTCCTTTAAATCTAGTCGTCCTGTTTAAATTCAGCAGGTGCTTGATAAGCCTGTCAAACCTTAACCGGAGGAGAAATCCGAACCAGCGGTACGAAAACCGGACTTAGATGTCACCTGGTATACTTGGGCCAAAATTTCCCCGCGCTACTTGCTCCATTTGACAGCTCCCCCAATCTGATCACGTCGATAGATGGGGATCGAGGAACTGCGCAAATGGATCGGCCAGAATGCCAGATCGTTGGGAACTCTTCGGAAACAGCGAAACTGCAACGTTGTTGTCATACTCAAGTTCTGCTTGCCGGTCCTGGAAAGAATGAACAGTCGCCAGTGCTCGACTGCCGACTGTAGAGTTTGAGTGCATGTGTACTCGGTCAGTCAGAAAGTTCAGCCAGAATGCAGGTGTGACAGCGGCTCAAATCAGGAGAGCTCAACCCTGATCGGGAAACTCCAAAGTTGATCTTGCTATCGGACTGATATCGATCTGGATCAGTTGCGCTAGTAGCGGGATGGCGTTTGAATGGCTTAAGTTTGTAGGCTTGCAAAAATACTGAGATCCACCCTAACGTCTAGTTTCTGTACGTCCAATATTAGTGGAGATATCGTTCCTTGAAAAACGCGATATGTATAACATCATCTTTCGCGTCAAGACATACGCAGCAGGGCCGGATTAAGGGGGTGGCCACATGGGCCGCGGCCTACGGCGGCAAAATTAGGGGGCGGCAAATTTTGCAATTTCTTTAAATGCAGGTACAAAAAAATCGGATTCAGAAAAAAATTACAAACAAGAAAAGGTGACAAAATCTCTCATTTCCTGAGAGTTCATTAATTTCTAATTTTGTCGTATTTCGGTGATACAAAAGACTGCGCACCTTGAATTAGTTGAGTTTAGAGAGAAACCAAACACGTAATTTAGCCTGGAGCGGCGCGGCGCAAAGAGAAATGATGACGAGAACTTGAGATGAAAAGGAGAAGCCCTTGACGCGGCGGTCGGCATGTAACACATATTAGCGCCTACGAGACTGCACGAATACTTCACGCATTGCGTCAAACTCAGTACGGTCAAAAGCGGTCGGCGCGACGTGAAACGCACAGTGCCTACAAGACCACATGAATACTTCACGCATTGCGCCAAACACAGTGAGGTCAGCGCGGTACGGCGGCGGAAGTTAAAATTATTAAACCACATTTATGCTTGTTCTTTCTTAATTGTTTAGTTCAATTCTTACAAATGAAAGGCCTTGTCCCCACAGAGATAGATTTGCGGAACTGAACTTTCGCGCGAAGTTCCGTGAACTTTTGCTAGTAGCGTTGACAGGGCTTACGCAAAAAATGTGTCCAACACGAGTGAACGCGTCTTATGCACCCTTCTCCCTCCGGCACGCCCACTTAATGGTTTTCATTGATGTTTCAAAATGAATGAGAAGAGGGCGGCAAAATACAGGCGGCCCATGGGCGGCAAGTAGGTAAATCCTAAATCCGGCCATGATACGAAGGCTACTTCCGCCTTGGATTATTTAATTATTGATACCCAACTACACAAGTTACTCACAAGTAGTGAATCTATAGATCAGCATAACATTCAGAAATACAGGAACAGGATTCGATGGTTGATCCGGGTGCCTTTAATTATAATAGACACTTTTTCCTCTGTAAAATCATGTGAGTAACAGGCACACTCAAAAGGGCGTGTAGTGAAATCCATGACCTCAGTTCTATGGGGATCAGATCAATCCTACGCCCTTCCTTACGATCCGTGTGTAACCATGTAATACTGATGATTACGGAAAAGCTATGTGTGCATACATATAGTAGGTATATTCTCGTAGATGGTATTTACGCTGGGCACAGCATTCTCCAGACATTCGGCTGGTTAGGTTTAAAGCCCTGGATGAGTCGATGAAGAATGGAGATGATGCATGTGTGAGGAATTTGGGATTTGATTGTTGATTCTTTTGTAAAAGTTCGTGAGAAACACGATGGTGCCACTGGTTTTCTCTGAAATCAACTCCCAAGCTCAAAAAAAGCTCTCAAGTTGAGGCCAAAATGGAGGGGATATCCCACGCTATCCTGAGAGTCCACATCTACATCAAGACAAACTCTCTATGCAAAGATAGGGAGCAAATACATTAGCAATGTCGCCGTGTTTTCAGTTTTGGAGTCCCCAAATAAAGTGGCAACCCTGCTAATGTATGTGCTCCCTACTTTTGCATGGAGAGTTTGTTTTGATGTAGGGGTGGACTCTCAGGATAGCGTGGGATAACCCCTCTATTTTGGCCTCAACTTGAGAGCTCTTTTTGAGCTTCGGAGTTGATTTCAGTGAAAACCAGTGGCACCATCGTGTTTCTTGCGAACTTTAACGTAAGAATCAACAGTCAAATCGCTAATTCCTCACACATGCAACATCTCCAATAGGCTAGGTACACTGGTGGCACGTTCGGATCCAATCCGATCCCTACGTTGACTCAACAACTTATTGCGTTTATTGGCGTTCCTTTGAAGGATCAGCTTGGCCACGCTGTGAGTGCGACTTCAGGCGGCCCTGCGAACGGTCCCACCCAGCGCAGGCAAAAGTTGACGGAGATACACCGATACAGCCTCAAAGGCTTTCTCTTCCGCTACGGCGCGGCGCGGCGTGGCGTGCCTGAGAAGGGCGTAACTTCCGTCACTGTGAACCGCAGAAAGCGTAGAAACTATCCTTCGGTAGGGTCCACCTCAAAATGTCGTTACGCCCTGTCGCTAGCGAGTGATGATTTTTTCGCGCTTCGCTCCCAGACGTACGATCGTACGTCCCTTCTACCCACGTGAGGTATGATTCCATCGTCGGTTTCGCCGCACCACCTCGGTGAAGAGCGTTCGCTTTCGTCGCCCGTAGACGGTGGCGTAGGAGACCAGTTACTCTGAGGTTTCACGGCCCGTAAGCCTCCAGCATGAGCCGAAGTTGGCCTCCAAGTAAATTTTTCTGAATTTTTAAAGTTTTCTTGTGTTTCCTCGGAGATTTTTTTTTTTTTTTAATACGAAATTTCCGGGAAAATTGGGCAGTGCGCGTGGCGTGAACGACCGATTATCGATATTTTCTCATTTGAAGCTATGGTAAAGAATCGATTATTAAGGTGTTTGTTGCGAACACCCTGTTTATCGTTTTTTTTTATCGCTTTTTTTGAGCTTGGGAATGGGCCTGTTGCAAACTTTTGCTAGAGCAAAAATAAGAGTTGTTTCTTATAGATATTGCCTCAAAAATCACGATGAGCGCATTGGCAAAGTCTGAAATGCATTCATAACTTCACAATCTGCGTAGGAAATTTGCGGTTTTTTGAGCTTCCCGCTTCAAAAACGATACTACGGCACAGGTGAACATTTTGTTAGAGGAGTCGTTCCATCGTCGGCAATACCCATCATGGCCGACGACAATCCGCCAAAATACCTGTGATGGGACGAGATAACACCTGAACAGGATTAGACCAGATAACAATCGGCGTGTTTACGTTCATATTTTCCTCACCCGCCTTAATTGACCTTGAACTCTCCTCGAAATACGCGCGGAACTGCGCAAGCGTCGGCCATGAGGAATATTGCCGACGATGGAGCGACTCTTCTAACAAAATGATCACCTGTGCCGTAGTATCGTTTTTGAAGCGGGAAGCTCAAAAAAACGCAAATTTCTTACGCAGATTGTGAAGTTATGATTGCATTTCAGACTTTGCCGATGCGCTCATCGTAATTTTTGAGGCATTATCTACAGGAAACAACTCTTATTTTTGCTCTAGCAAAAGTTTGCAACAGGCCCATTGATTTCAGAGAAAACCAGTGGGACCATCGTGTTTCTCGCGAACTTTTACATAAGAATCATCAGTCAAATCGTAAATTCCTCACACATGCAACATCTCCATTGGGTAACGCCGGATTTCTTCCGTTTAAACCTATGTCAAATAATCGATTCTTGTCAGAGCACCTAGCCCCTCCAAGAATCGATACATTTACATAGGTTTAAATGGAGGAAAACAATGTTGCCAATTTGTTGGATCCGCGAATGCTGGTGTATTTTCTGCGCTCTGCCTGAGACCGGCGACACATTGATTCATTCACAGGTGCGAGTTCAAGTGCAAGTGTACTTACGTGAACCAAAATAGATTTCACCCGGTGTTATGTTCACGACTCGCGCGCCAAGCTCAACACCGGAAGTGCACGGCTATCGCACGGAAACTAAATTCGAATTTCGAACGCGGGTGGCTCGATCCTCCCTCTCTTGGCACCTTCGGGACCAAAGACGGTGTATTTTAAAGACCCGGGCGAAAAATCTAAGCAATTTCATCGAGTGTGCCACAAGTCAAAGTCCGAGGTCAACGTTCCTTTTCGCCTAATGATGATTGATGCGCAAATTGTCAAACGTAAGTCATCTTATGAATGTCAGCGTAAGATTTTGCGGGGCGAATTTTGGCAAATTAGCTCAGGATCGCTAAACCAATCATTGCTTTGGTCACGAGCCCTCATTATGCGAATTTGAGCGCTGGCCTCAGAAAGTAACTTTCTCGTCAAGGGAGAGATAGTATTGCACGGCTCAA